CATCCTGTCATAATAGGCATTACAGGTACTTCGTAATCTTTGTAAAAATCATAACCTTAGTTAAAAACTTTAGTTGAATTTGCAGATATGGGCTCCGCTGCCAAATGATGCGAATATCCCTTTAGACAGTGACAGCAACTTGGCTAAAATGGGTGCAACAACCAAAGGTGCGGTTTCTACAATACTCACGCTTCGGGCCCACGAAAGTTGCTTTGATGCTTCGTATAGAGCTGTCTAAAAATAAGTCATACAAAGTTCGCTTTCTACAAAATCAAGGTAAACGGTCAAAACTTAAATTTAAAGACTAGTAAAAAATCTTTTGTCAAACAATAGCTTTGATAGTAGCCGGTGGCCGTGCATTATTACTCTTTGCTTATTGTGTCACTTTTGGTCTGTGGGCTGTCAGACTTCAGATTAGACTAATTATGCAAATACCGTGGTGGGACTCGTGCTTCCTTTCAGTTTTGGGAAGTCATCTCCCAAGAACACGGCATTGACCCAACTGGTGCCTACGATGGGGACAACGATGTGCAGCTGGAGCGAATCAACGTATATTACAATGAGGCATCTGGTGGTAAGCATGTGCCCCGTGCCGTGTTGATAGACCTGGAGCCGGGCACCATGGACAGCATTCGAGCCGGTCCGTTTGGACAGCTCTTCCGACCGGACAACTTCGTCTTCGGTCAGAACGGGGCAGGCAACAACTGGGCAAAAGGACATTACACCGAGGGCGCTGAGTTGGTGGACAGTGTGGTGGACGTGTTGCGTAAGGAAAGCGAGTCCTGTGAATGCTTGCAGGGTTTCCAGCTCTGTCACTCTCTGGGAGGCGGGACCGGATCCGGTATGGGCACTCTGCTAATCTCGAAGATCCGGGAAGAATACCCGGACCGTATTATGAACTCGTTCTCCATAATGCCCTCGCCAAAAGTGAGAATTCATCTTCATTTTACAAAAAATTATTACTGTAGTCTTATGTCAATAGTTTTTTGTTTCTTATTTTCAATAGATCGTTGGAATACTTCGATTCTAAATCACTTTGGAATGCAGGTTAACCTGAGTCCTGGTGAACATTTTGTTGTATACACTTTCATTTTATATGAAAGTTCATTCCGAAGAGATTAGTTGGCTAATCTTACCGGAAAAAGACAGCCAATTCCTCTTATCCTGAAACAGTCTGGCTTTACTATAACATTCAGGTTGACTC